TCCACAGGCATTTACAGAGGTCATCCTGACAGACAGATGCTGATGATAAAAAATTACATTCAAACGAATACTTCAGTTTGAAGACAAATCAACTTATGGACAAAATGTTAAAAGTCAACAGCGAAAACAACTAAATCACATCAACAAAAAGTGCAGTGAAAACAAAAAATTATATTCACAGGCAATCGGAGAGCTCAGAATTTCAGAACACACAACCACAGTAATTGAAGTAGCTATAAAAGCCCTCTAAAGTAAAGCAACCAGAGAAATAACCACACTTTTATGTTAGAGCTACTCTGTATATGAAAGAGCAGTCATCAATAGGAAAGTTTCATTTCATTCAAACAAGAATACAAATGTTGACAAACAAACCCAGAAAAAGAGGATGACAGAAAGACTTACTAAACTAATAACAAATGCTTTAAATAGACACTGAAATCACCTGGCCTGGTTCCATGAAAGGTACCCCTATGGGTTTTAACATGGTTTAGCAATATAAAATGCCCTCTAGAGCACACAAATTCTTTATTTAAAATATACACATAAGGACACAACTGCTGCCACTGCAATGCCACACAGTAGATTCAATATACTCCAGAATACAGAAAACACAGATAAGCTATTTCTGTAAGCTTTAACATACAGTGGCTGAACAAAGAAAGAATCAAGGCAGAGCAATGATCAATATTTCATCAGACAAAATTAGAAACATATTTTACATGTAAAATAACAAAAAGGTAAATCTATACGTTATGTTGAACCTAACCATACAATTGTTATATTGACAAAAACAGTGGCTCACTTCTAACCAGCCAAGCTTCTCTGAAGCTGTTTTAAGGAAGACTCTAGGCCTTATAACTACTGAACTAGGAGAAACTGGATTCATCAGCACATTTTCAAGCTTTATAATAAGTGGCATGCACCACTCTGTGTGTTCTAGACTAAAACTTTATTTATATGAAGCAAGAGAATCCAGAACTAGGTTTGTGGTGGGAAATATTGCAGATGTATGCTGTGTCAGTATAACACACTTTTTCCAAAGGACATTGATAATGATGCTAGGTAACAAAAATACAGCATTTTGTAAAACCATGCTATAGATATCATGGCTGGTTCTCCAATAAATTTCTGTTGTATGCATTTAAGTTAAAATAATTTGGAAGATACAAGATGACAGTATTCAAAATGTATTCCGTGTGGCCAAATTAGTCCTGTATTTCTTAGAACGCCACATGTGTTCTATTCAGTCAGTGTTCTGTAACAACAAAACTGAAGTAGAAAAATGGGGTGAAGAACCCAAAGATGTTCAAAGAAAGGAACCACGGAAGTCCAAGAATACAAAAAGCCAAACTCCTGCTTAAATATTATTGCATTATAACAGTTAACTTATAGTTAGGGCTCACCACAAGTTGTGACATTTTAGGGAGAGTTAATAAAAGCAAAATGGCATCACCTGATTGTAGAAGAGATCAATTAAAATTAAAAGTTGTGGGAATTAATAAGCTCCTGCAGATTCTAAGCCAGTGAAGGTATCATGCTCTATTGTTCACAAAATATAAAGCAATGCCTTTTGGAACCCCCGGTGAAGGTTTGAGAGACCATCAAGTTCTCAGAAAAGTACATGAGACAGCTGTTCCCTTTTTCCAAGGATTTAGGAAAGGATTATAAAAATAATCATGTTTTATGCCATCCTTTGCTGTGTCCTGCTACCTTTCACTAATTTTTAACATAAAATGCAGTACAGCCTTGCTCTTATCAGCACTCAGAAGCCATGCTGTAATCAGGGAATTAAAGCAGAGGAGTCTCTATTTTCACAAGATGGTTAAGGACTATAGAAAACTGTCACACGTAAAAACCTGTTTTACTAAGTGTTGCCTATTGCCTCATTCAGTAAACAGCAAAAATTCAGAATGTCGAAAACTAGCTTCTAAAACTTAACTAACACAACATTCTTACTCAGCAAGAAGTAAGAATGTCGTGTTAGTTAAGTTTATGAATGAATGGAAGTGAAACAATTACCAATTATTAAGGTTATTTTTCTTGTTTCGTTCCCATAAAACCAAGTGGAAAAGCTAGGATTTTTCAGCATTATTTACTTGTAAAAATAAATAAATAAATAATGGGTCTAATCAGCTTGCTTGCCCTCTGAAGAAACACTACTCATTCTACTAACAAAGTTAAAGACCTAGAAAGTGTCAGGAGTTGGTATGCACATGCATGATGCATATCAACCTCTGCCCCTCGACTTCCCAAAAAAAGACACGAAAGCTTTCCAACCCTTTGTATATGTTTCATTGTGCTATGCTGTCATGTAGAAAGATCAGGGTTTAAAGTTTTATGATTCTGAGTGGAATAACAAAAGAAATACATTATATGCTGAGACATACTCACTCTTGATTTTGCATCAAAGAAGAATTTGAAACAGTCACAGCCTTGCCTTCCTACATGAACAAATGGCAATGATTACCAGCCTAAAATGACTAGATACAAAATTGGATAAGGAAGCATGTGGGAAGTAGATGAATATCTTTGCATGAATTACCTTTCAGTTACTTCTTCCATTTAAATGGATCAATATTAGTCCCTTGGATTCTAACACTGCCAAGCTCAAGTAGAGATAAGAGCACACAATGTATTAAGAAACCTCTTTCACTATGTCTTTGAGGCATCTAGCTGGTGGTTACTGCCAAAGTCTGAAGAGCATCTGCTCTCACTTTAGCAGTTTATATTCCGACTCTGGTGAATGGAAGCACAATCTCTGAAACAGCCTTTGGGGAACACTACCAAGTTGCTCGACAGAGCTCTTACTCAGAAAAGAGAGGAGGAGATTAATATTACAGAAAACCTGAAAGATCTCGCTTCTGAGAAAGGAGACAAGAGCAGTTTCCTAATACTGTACACACCACAAATCTCTCTTTTACTAAAACATTAAAAACTTGTCCTAAAACTGAAGTGATTAAATAGGAAAAGACCTAAAGGTAGAAAATAACATTTGTTTAAGTCATATTCATGGAAAAGTAAGAAGAAAACATGTATCTTATCTCATTTGTCAACAGGCATAATGAAAACAGAAGAATGAGGACTCACATAACAGACTTTTTCCTAATGTGCTCAAGAAGGTCACGGGTGCTTTGCTTAGTCCTGTCACAGCAACATATGGCAATACTGAGTCTTGCAGTGAACTTACAATGTCATTATTTTAAGTTCCCAGTAGCACAGATTACTAAATTTGTGTGTGGTCCTAAGCAAACAACAAATCTGGCCACACACAGTGAAACCCCTGCTTCTAAAACTTCAAAATCAGCTGAAGGAATCTCTCCTCGAGAGCCATAGATCCCAGATAGTAGCCACTTCTGAACTCCACAGCCACTTTCAAAACTATAAAAGGCTTCATGTAAAACAAAAATAAAGCTCTAAAAGTGGCTGCAGGAAATCACTAGGAGTGGCCGCTCTTCTGGATTCACTGCTTTTGAGAAGTAAATCCCTGCAGCTGCTTTTAAAAGCTTTGAAAGTTTCATTTCAATTATCAAAGCCAATAAAGCTTCAAAAACAGCCATGGGGATTTGTTCCTCAGAGAAGCAAACCCCAAAAGGCAGTGATGAATAGTGTGATGGGCTCTGTGGCTCTTGAAGTATGCACAGATTCCTGTAAGTCCTGCACTTGTAATTACAACTCCATGTTGTGCAGCAATTGTTATAGCCACATAGCTCATTAAGGCTTAAATGGCAAATTCATAACTGATTTCCCATTCTTTCTAACAGTTTTATGTCTGTTGCCTTCTCCTTTTCTTACACCTGTATCAACTATTACGTGAGCATCCCTCTCAACAGTTTCTCAGACACATTCCATGAAGACCTTGCTGGCTGCAGTCTCAGGTGGTGCTGAGGCAGTCCCAAAAGGCAGGACATGCTTTCCCAGCTGTCATCATATCCTCACAGCGAGCTGCCTACAGCCTGCAAAACCATTCCTTTCTCTGAAGGGGAACTTAAAATGGCATTTTGTAAAGTACAAGAGTGAAGTCTGACAATAAGTCAATGAAGAACTTGCCTGCAACTGCAATATAAAAAGGCTCCCGTTAATTCAATGAACATAAACACAAATAGCATTTCTGAAGCAGCCACATGCTTAAAAAAAAACTAACAGCACTGATTTGTAACAAGATTTTGGTCTTATCTTTAAAACTCTAAGAAGTAGATCCCTAAAAATTTGTGATGTAAGCATAGGCCTGAAAGAGATACAATTTACACCCCAAAATAATTGGAGCTTAGTATGTTAAGACACTGATGGCACTGAAAACATTACAAAAATTATGCTGAAAAATATACATTTAAGTACCAGAACACAAAGTGTTATATTATTAATAAAGTATGTTGCATAAAAATGCATTCTATTTTACAGAACTGCATTTCCTAACCTTAAAACACCACTAATTCTGAACAGTTATTCTACTGAAGTTTTTAACTGCCATTTTCAAATGGCAGAATAAATAAACATACCTTTTTGCCATGATAAATAAACACAGCTTTTTGAAAACACGCCATAAGAAAATCACTATGAACTTAAATAGATGCAGGTGTTCAGAACTGAGTAACTGGTTTGTATGGGGAAAGAAAATCTTGACAGGAAACTTAAGCATTCTGTTAAATGTTATTCACAGCTGTCCTCTGTGACCTGTACTACTTACTTTACCTCTCCGTTTCAATCTTCTCATGTGTAAAACATGAAGGAGGATTGTGAGAAATAATTAATGTTTGCAAAGAGCTTTGAGATCCTTGGATATAAAAAACATGGGAAAGAATGAAGTTTAAAAGTACCAGCATGCTATTTTATTTCCAACTTGAGGTAAGTTACTTTTATCACAAAAACCTTGAAAGTTTAGAAATACAAAATTATGGAATGAAATGCTTAAAAAACCATCTTAAGTGCTAAGCATATTCTGTTCCTCAGAACCTCATCACTCTGAAGGAAACACTCCCAGAAGGAAAGGATGCGCTTCTCACCCGTTTCAAGTATGCGTTTATGGAGAGGTATAGCAGCAAGAAAGGGTTCATCTTTACAGGACTGGATCTGGGCTCCAACCAAGTCAGAGTTGGTAGCCAGAATTCGGGCACTTTCTTCATTAAGATTAACGCCAGCCATAGAGGCAACATCATTGATGTCATCATCATCTCTGCAATAAAAAAAACAACATATAAAACCAAATTCTGCATGTAATATATTCATTTTTTACACAATCTGCTTCTCCAGAAAGAACCATCATGCCACATGCCCAATGGGTGGACCAATTGAGACACAACCCTTGGTGTCTCCATTTTCATAGAATATCTTCAGAAACAACCATGTCTCTCTCTGACCATATCAGAAAACATCAGAAGCAGGACAATTTGACTGGTAACAGAAAGTGTGACAGAGGTGTCTGAGTCAGTGATATCAATGAAACCAGGCTGATCAGGAAACTAAAGGCAATGATCACCACTAACAACTGGACACTGGGATTTTCTCATTATAAAGAAAACTAGGCATAAAATGGTAAAATAAATAACAGAAATTAAAAGCAAACCCATGTATTTTTAATCCTTCACTGTTTCACAAGTTCCTACTAAAACAGGCATCAAAGCATTTTCAGCAACAGTCAGGGAAGATTCTTTAACCATGCTGAGCTCATAGGTAAATCTGGGCTCCAAGCGTGGCTGGAGTATGTGCTGGTAATTTCTCTGCTAACATACAAATATTAGTTGTGTCAACAAGTTTTAGGAAAATGAGCTGCATTTGAGAAGATGACAGTAACTCCCAGACCATTTTGTGCCCTGCAACATCCTTTTTAACAGCCTGAGAAAGTACAAACAAATTTGAGTTTCCATACCAGTATCTCCCGAGCATCTTTACCTCCTACCTGTCTGAGGTATGACTCAGAGCTGTGGAAACAGCCATCTGGATTTAGCACATTCTGTTTCAAAGTGTTTGCTTGACACAAACACTATTTCAACATATTCTAGATTGATTACACAACCTTTGAGAATATTATTTTCAGAAAATATATATACAGATAAGAACATTCAAGTCCAGACTCCCATTAGTGTATTAAGTAATCAAACAAAAGCTTAATTTAAAAGATTTTTAAAAAATTGTTACATACTTGATGTCCCGTGCACTCTAAAATACTTTGCCACTTGTAACAAGCTGAATGCCCACATTAAAAACCAATAGCTGCAAATAAAGTCTGAGAATAAAAGGAGGGAAATCCAGAAATCCATAATCTAGGTCCTCCTGCTCCTCCCATACTTTTCCTGTTATCCGTACTACAGCAGCCAATTTTGGTGAAAGACTACAATTGTTGGATAAATACCCGTTTTGTTTTCTTTTGTGGGAAGAAGAAGAGACATTTATTTGTGTAAACCTGCAGAAATGTGCTTAACACTTGATGCAGAAAATGGAATCTTAAAACGCTTTTCAGTAAAAGTCTACACAAATGAGCTTCTATTAATTTCCAGGAGTGTTAAGCACTTGATTTCCTGCCTTAAAAAGAAACTCCTGAGAGCCGTGTTGCAACATCGTAGGATGGTTTTGGTTAGAAGGAAACTTAACAGCTCATCCAGTACCACGCCTGCCTTGGGCAGGGACACACCTGCCACTGTCCCAGGCTGCTCCAAGCCCCATCCAGCCTGGCCTTGGGCACTGCCAGGGGCAGCTTCTCTGGGCAACCTGTGCCAGAGCCTCAGCATCCTCACAGGGAACAATTCCTTCCTAATTCCCAATGTAAACCTATTACCCTTTAGTTTGAAGCCACTCCCCCTTGTCCTGCCACTCCATGCCCTCGTAAATTGTTTCTCCCCATTTACTGCAGGCCCCCTTCAGGTGCTGTAAAGTGACAACTGGGTCACCCTGCAGCCTTCTCTTCTCCAGGCTGAAAAATCCCAATTCTCTCAGCCTTTCTTCCTAGGGCAGGTGCTTCATCCCTTTAATCCTGGCACTTTTACAGCTGATATGGTGTGGACACAATAATCACCTGTGGGCCCAGGGCCACAATGAGGAATTGGCTCCATGCCCACTCCACACAACCAACACCAACTGAAATATTCAATGATCAACTCAAAAGTTTGTAATTCTACAGATGAGAAAACACAGGTAAAACTGCAAGAAACCAAGATTCTGTTGGGTTAAAACCTGAATGCATGCAATGGAGTGAGAACACCCAGGACTCACAAGGCCCAAATCCAGCAGATCTCAAATCACACAAAAACCAAACTCCTATCAAGGCAGTCACCAGAACACAAATTCTGAACTATGTAAAACAGAAGCTTCTGGAAGACAGACTTGAACCCAGAATTTCAAAATAAAGCTCAAACTGACTAAACCACAAGTATGGTGGTGACGCCCCGTGGGCCTTCACCCTGCTGTGGGTCTGGGTGCCAGGGGATGAGCCCGAGCCCCGGAGGAGCCAGGAAAAAACAAACCAGAGGTTCCCAGGGAGGGCCCCACACAGCCCTGCTGCCCTGTCCCTTCAGCAGCAGCTCTCACAGCTGGGCAGGGGCTCCCAAAACTGTCCCTTCAGCAGCAGCTCTCACAGCTGGACAGGGGTTCCCAAAACTGTCCCTTCAGCAGCAGCTCTCACAGCTGGACAGGGGTTCCCAAAACTGTCCCTTCAGCAGCAGCTCTCACAGCTGGGCAGGGGTTCCCAAAACTGTCCCTTCAGCAGCAGCTCTCACAGCTGGACAGGGGTTCCCAAAACTGTCCCTTCAGCAGCAGCTCTCACAGCTGGACAGGGGTTCCCAAAACTGTCCCTTCAGCAGCAGCTCTCACAGCTGGATGGGGGCTCCCAAAACTGTCCCTTCAGCAGCAGCTCTCACAGCTGGACACGGGTTCCCAAAACTGTCCCTTCAGCAGCAGCTCTCACAGCTGGGCACAACTGGCCAGCATTACTCAAGAGTCTCAATCCTGTATTTGCACATCAGGTGCCAGGACAGAAGTACTGCAATCTCCTTCAAGCAATCAGCCATTAAAAAAGTCAAAACAGCAGTCTTGACTTCTAGAACACAACTTCTCAGAGAAGTTTATACTTCTCCGTTATTTCATAGCTGAATAGCATACCATCCATCTTTTACCTTCCTTCTGCTTAGCAGCTTAGCTACTCCAATTTTTATTCAATGTACAGATATGTGACCACATTATAAATAAATATTTCTGAAATAAAACCAGACAAGTATTTTGTACACAAATTAGATTTCAATGCAATTGTCAAAACCAATGCAATAGCACTTACAAAAACCATCACTGTAACTCCTGGAGAGAATCATTATATTCCATCTTACACTTGCAACCTACAATCTGCAAGTATATCCTTTATTTTTTTTTTTCCAGTATTACATGGAATACAAATAAGAAATGTATTAATCACAGCTGAGACTACAATTTTTTCTGACAGGAAGAATCCTATCCATACATTCTTCCTTACATCAAAGAACCTCATACTGAAACATGTTTGGTAGTGAAACATACATTTATATACATAGTTGCTATTCTTGCCAAACAGTTTCCTATAAAAGTGAACTTTTAAGCCCAGATAAGTGAGTTTTTAGAAGTTATTCTGTAGAACAAAGATGCCATCCAGTGGTCATCTAGACTGATGATTACTGTCTATCTTTCCTTTTTCATCAGAGCACAGTATTTAACAATTTCATATTTCTTGGCATATATTACTATGCTCATTCTAATTCTACTGTTTCAGTAAATATTTCTGGTTATTATTGAACTAAATTTTAAGTCTCATAGGATGAAGCTAACATTCCAACACACATTGTATTTTTAAGACAGCATGAGTTCTCAAACTCCCTCCAAACACAAATTTTATCTCTTAATAATCCAAGAGTCCAATTCTTCCTCTAATATTCAACCTCTTGTAACAATTTTCCTTTTCCCTCGTTATGAAGACTCATGCAATTGCCAAAAGAAAAAATCTTATCTGAAAGTAAGCAAGAAAACTCAAAGCATTTGCACAATTCTGTGAAAGGTCTCAAAGATTTTGTTTAAACTAAGACAAGCCATTATAAAAATCTGGTGGTACTTTCTTTATGAACAAACTTTAACTGCATGATTGCAGAGTTTTTCTTTCTCATGCACTTTGTCAGATTTGAGCCACTGCTGTCCCAATCTGCAATACTGAACTGCTCCCAAACAAGCCAGAAGAATGCATAAAGCAATCAAGACAACATTATGCTATTGACTGCCCTCTCTTACAAGGGAATTGCATGTCATTAGGACAAAGTCCCTACATCCCACAGATCCTGTGGATCACACAATCAGAGATAAACAATACATGGCATATAAACAGCCACTACTGTATTTTATAATGGCATAGATTCCATTTACACATCAATTATAACGTTTATTCTAACGCTCATGTTGTAATTTCAAATGTCTCCCTAATACTGCTTTGCCACATAATTCATCCTTTATGTGGAATCTTCTCTCTGATAAGCAAAAGGGCTGACAGAACAGACCACATCTGTGGTCGGTATTTTTCTTTATTTTTGAAATATATGGAAAAAACACAATACTCTCATAGCTTGAAATAATTTGTTTGAAAAAGCAAAAACCTCAAGCCAAGGGTTTTTCACATACCATTTTGAAACAAAATCTTTCAAGTTATCCATTTAACATCCACATTAGCTTTCTACCACTTAAAGGGAAAGCTGCTTTGCTTATGTTGCTAAACTTTTGTTTTTAAAATTGAAAATAAAATACTAGACAAGAGATTTTTTTTTTTTTTTTGGCTATGCAAGGGAGGTCTGAAAACAAATTTTGTATTTCCACATAGAGTCCACTTCAAAATGCAGTCAGACAGCAGAATAAAACACAGATACTAAGATCAGCTTCAAATGATCTGAGAGACTTCACGGAACTGGCTCTGAAAACAAACCCCATCACACTGGCTATACAAAACCTGACAGCTTCCAGGAGGTCAGATGTAACTGAAATGCCACTTCAGAAAAGGAAAGGTTTCTGTCAAAAGGAAGGAGCAAACAAAACCACAGCATCATCCCACACAGCAAGGGACAGACTGTTCACTTCTGGCCCTGCCACTGAGCCCTGCTGAGCAGTTTGGGGTGCTGGGACATGAGAGGACAGACACCCACCTCCATCCTGGGAGGAGCACAGAGCACACCTGGACCAGCCCCGACCCAAGCAAAGCTGCCTCTCCCAGCTGAAGTGATTCCATCTCAACACAGGAGCAAATGTTTCTGCTGGTTCCCTTCAATGGCCACCCCTGAACCATGGCAAGGACCATGGAGAGCCTGCTGCTCCCACCACAGCAGGAGCAGCTCCTGTCCCTGGGAACTCTGAGGGGACCTGAGGTGATGAGCAGCAGCTGTGGGCACATGTGCAGGTCCCTGGCAGACTTCTGAGGGATTTTTGCTTCTCTCGGCTACAAAACCAATGCAACAGCACTTACAAAAACCATCACTGTAACTCCTGGAGAGAATCACTATCTTCCATTTTACACTTGCAACCTACAGTCTGCAAGTGTATCTTTTTCTTTTCAGTATTACATGGAATACAAATAAGAAATGTATTAATCACAGCTGAGACTACAATTTTTTCTGACAGGAAGAATCCTATCCATACATTCTTCCTTAGTTCAAGGAACCTCATAATGAAATATGTTTGGATACTGAAAAATACATTTATATATAGAGCTGCTATTCTTGCCAAATAGTTTCCTATAGAAGTGAACTTTTAAGCTCAGTAAAGTGAGTGTTCAAAAGTTTCAGAAACCTCAAGCTGGCCTGTTATGGTACAAACCCAAGTCTAGACCTCTGCTTGCAAAACAAACAGATACATTGCTAAAAATGAAACTCAAATTTCTGTCCTTAGGTATCAACAGAATTGAAAAGTCACCTAACTGGGGTTGTAGGTAGTTCTCTCTGAAAAATACAGCAATAATGCATTTAATAATAAAATTTAATAATAATAATAAATTTAGAAATACAGCAATAATAAATTTAATACCAAAAATAAGTGACCTAAAATTTCACAAGCACAGCTTCACATTGTAGAACTCTTGGGTTGAGAACTCTGCATCACAAAACTGCTACTGGAACAAACTCTGAACTCATGTGAGCAGTCTTACTGTTCATTAATAAATGCTGACCTTAAAGGCATAGCTGCAATTTGCAAAATTCTTAATTGCTAGTTCTTTCATGTAATTCCATCTTGTATCCCCTACAGTTCAGAATAGAGGAAAAAAACCAAAAAACAATGAAGTTCAAATTTCTGTTTCTAGTGACCAACACTTCACTCACAAAAGTGAAAAGTTCAAATAAGTTATTTTAAAGAAAGCAGAATGTAAAATAATGAAACAAATATGCAATAATAAAACACTAAGGGCAAAATAAATTTATACATAACACAACTATTTTTCAAAATTCTTGCTTTGCTTTAGATGCCAGTTTGCCTTCTGGCTAAAAACACATTCTTCACACACGCTGGGAATGTTGAGGAAAACTAGTCAGCATTCAGAGGATTAATACAGATTTCCAGCTCTGTGCCTTTAGGCTTAATAGTCAGACATCTATTTGTCCTCAGGAGAGGTTAGGGGTTGAAATGCAAATATGCAAACAACTGAATTCTTTGTTAATATATCAGGAAAAAGCTTGATCTTTGCTGCTGTTTAATAAATCCTTGCAATTTTATAGACTTATTTAAATGCAGCTTTGTGTCTTACTATTTTGAAGGAGAAAACAATGTAACGAAACAAACACGTTCATTCTGACTAAAATTTGTTCTCTAGAGGAAAAATGACATACACCCTTGACAGCTTATTTACCAAACTCACTAAAGATTTATTGATTTATCAATCAGTGCCTTGAGCATTTGCTTCTCCCCAAGGGAAAATTAACAATTCCAGCTAACCTAATATATTCTATGTATAAACTAAGTGAATGCAAGAATCAATCCTGGCACAGTTTACAACATCCAGCTAAAAAAATGCTGTCCCTTTTGGTGTATGTAAAATTGAAAGCTATACTAACGAAGAATAAATGCTCATGTTGCTTACAAACATAAAAAATACTTATTAAGACAGTACAATTGAACCCAACAGACATTTTAATTCATTTAAATACTCAGTGGGAGGCAAAAGCATTGGAAAATAAAAAATTGAATGATTTTGCTTCCAGATTAATACTAAGTACTACCACTATTAGTTACAATACTGACATGCCTCAAAGCAGAGATATTTCAAAGAGCTACAAATTCTCTTTTACTTCACCTGCAAAAGCATAAGCCTGAAAATTAATTAGTGGTTTGATGATGTCAGAGCAACAGAAGAATCCCAGAAGATGACAATTAAAATCCAGGAATATTCTGTCATTCAATAAAGAAAGAAAATCTTTTGACAAAACTAAAATGGTGTTAAGTGAGAGTAAAATGCAGTAAACATAAGATTTGCTTCTCACTACCAAAAGTAAAAATATCCCAAATACATATAAATAAAAGTCTGGAGGATACAGAACTGGCAGAGCAGCTCAGTGCATCACTGGAACTGTGCTGAACCTTTTTTGCAGCACCTGATTCCTACAGGGGCCCACAAAGCACCCGACCTCCATGAGCTGAGGAAGCCCAGGGAGCTCAGACACAGCCAAATCTGCCTTTCAAAACCAGGAGTGACAATGCCCCTGCTCAGGGATCCCCTCCCAGGCCCAGGAGGGGCTGCTCCACAGAGACCCCGTCCTCACAACCAGCACCTTCCCAGCAAGACACATTCACAGGAGCAGCAGCATCCAGTGGGTAACACCAGCCACAGATTCTTTTAGATCCTCGTGCACATAATTCCATTCAGCCAAAGCTTTATTATAATCCACAGAATTTACAGTTCTGTTAAACGTTAAAATGTGCATTTAGAGAAAAATCCTCAAGATATGTAATGATCCCCTTCTTTCTTTAAAACCAGAATTAAGTAGGAAAATTGCCATCCAATCCCAGGGAAAAGAGACAGGAATTATTGTAAAAGACTGCCCTCTGGTGTTACAACAATTCTAAATTCTGTTTTATACTTCAGATCCCCCCCAAGCACCCCGCTGCATTTTTTTATTATTATTTTTGCTTTTTTTACCTGAAAGAACCACCTCCAGGGTCATTCAGCTTGTTTTTCTGATTTGCAGAGACCTGAACACCAAAGCCCCCAGGACTTTTACTGGCTTGTATTGTTGGTGCCTTCCCTACTGTGCCTGAAAAACACCAAGCAATGTTATTATGAGCTGTCTTAGACAATTTACATCAAAGAACCTTCTGTCCAGGAACTAAATTTAACTGTCTGTAAATTGCAAACAAAGGAAGTTATTATTTTTAAAGACTATATCCTGAAGAAGAACAAATTAAAATACAAAATTTATATTAACATTACAGTTTGTTCAATATTTACAGAACAGTGAAGATTACAAAACTTAAAGACACTGGCCATAAACAGCTATAATATTTATAATTGCTATAAATCTGTTTGCAATTGCCAGTAAACCACTTTTCTGGATAATCTGTACAGAATAAAGAAGGCGAATTTGAAATGTTCTTAATACAAATACTTAAAGTCAGAGTTACTCAGGGTATTAGCTATGCCTTTTACATTTTCTATACAGTAATTGTCCTTTATTGCAGTGAAAAACATATTTCTGAGTTGAAAGTACTGCATGTATTTTAAAAATGTTTTGCATTGCATATAAAAGAAAAAAACACTATTGCCAAATTTGACACACACCCCTCATAAAGGTTGTCTTTTGCTTTCTCATCTTGAAAACAATGACTCAAAAATAATTTGTGTCTTGATCTAGACTTTACAAGTCTTGAAGTACAAGCAAAACAGGGCTTTCTAAATGAGCCAAAGTGTGGTGGACATCCAGTAAATTAAAGAGATCTAAATTCCTCTCTGTCATGAAACCTTTGGAGTAGGCCCTCTATGACTGCCTAAACACATTTACTTGGGTTACATTTTGGGTTTCCTTTAATCCCACCTGTGCTTTGGCATGTAAAAATAACTCAACCTACTTGATTTAAAAGATCTCTCCTCTCTCTTGTGTATCACTCCATTTTATTGAGCATTACAGATGTGGTGTTTGAGACTTTGAGAAGGATGTGAAGGCTGCTCCTGCACCCCAGGGACTCAGTTGCACATAAATGGCACAGTAAGAACCTCAGTAGAGTTACAGCATTTTTATTTCATGAATAGTAAAAACTTGAAACACAACTCTCCTAATAAATTCTTTTAAGAACATTTCTTGGCTAATACAAAGCTGCTAGCTTTGACTGAGTCCTGCATTACATTTTTTTAAATTAGAAGTCTTCATCAACTCCAACATATGATCTTAAAGAGAAAATAATTTGATAGTGTTTGTTGAGTTCTCCATCTGTATAAATAAACTGTAACGTGGACTCTCAACATTAGCAAATACAAGACCAGATTTAGGACTTCAGGCTCAAGCCTGGGGAATAAAAATATTTTGTCATCAAAATTTTCAAGGTCCATGAGATGTCACAGACAGCATTAGTTCATGGACCAGGCAATTAATTTATCTATTTCAGATGAACTAATGGAAAGGTTTTCTACTCAGAGAACTGGAAGGAAGGAAAGAAATAATAACAAAAATTAGCAGATTTTTGCTTTGTACAATTAAGATCTAGAAGATTAAAAATGTGTTAACCTTGAAAACTGTTGCAATGGCAAACTTAAAGTAACAACAGCACTCCTCCAGAATTAATATATTTCTTTGGAATCAGTATCAATGGTTTGTTTCCTACAGATGATACTTGTGATAGAAAAATGCCCTCAAAACATAAATATCCATATGGATATGGAAGAATTAAGTCTCACATTCATCCCAAGTATATGTAATTCTACTCAATGGATCAGGCAAAGTGAATGTAAGACTTGGGATGACATTTGAGTTTTCTAGTTTAAATAAATTACAACTGTGCATGACTAAGGGTTAGACATAATATGCCTAAAACATCCATTTTTATTATGGGCAGACCATATTTTGAAAATTAAAATCACCTGTGGGCCTAGATATTTCATAGGATTGGTAATGACATACAGAGTCTTTCACCACTGCATTCTTGCTTCAAAATTTAATTAGCATGATCTAGAAAAATAAGCCCAAATTTAGGAGATTATAAATTCCTAGCTGTATTTCAGCACTGGTTAAACAGCTGCAATAAATACTCTAGTTAATTATTTTATTATTTGGCTCAATTCATCCATCCAATCCGTCAGATGAATTCACCTAATTATTATACTAGTAGAGTGCTTTGATAAAGGAGTGTCAATTTTTCATGCAGTAACAATGATGTTACTTCCACTGATGTGGAAGTAATTTTATTTCTATAAAGGCCCTTAAAGCATGCCAGTTTTATCTAAACTACTGTTTTAAGAAGCATTACAGTCTGTTCACATGATGTACTGAAGATATACTACACTTGGAGATTCACTCCTGTCAAGGAGGAAACTGCAGCACTTTGTGGAGGTCAGCTCAGTTCTGAGGTAATTATCCTTAACCTGTCACACTCCACAAAATTATGCTACCATAAGTTTTATTTAAAGGATGTCCTATTCCAGTATATTAGCTCCTTCTGCAGGAATACCTAGGCCACTATAAAATATCATTACACTGGTGTTTACAGTAAAAAGTTTTAATAATATATCACAATGATGCACTCTCGACAGTGCTGCCAGCACACAAGCAGCCTGCTCCCTAGATGTGGGCTTTAGGATGAGTGGTTTTCTACTGGGATGTTTTCTAAGTGCCTATTCTTGTTTGTTTTGTCTGTGTAAATAAAACCATATACTAGAGGGCTTAACCAAACCTGTAAATTTGAATAAGCTCACCAAAAAGTAGGATCTTGCATAAATTGGCTTTTATAAAATAATCTACCAGAAGTCAAACTGCCAGTTAAGTTGCACCACACTGGCTGATCGAGGGCTATCAAGAATAAACTCATATTCTGACCCACTGTTTAAAAGACAGATGCCAGTATCATGCAAATTCTCAGTACACTGTTGACATTCACAACTTGGAGACTGAACAAGCAAAGAAATGAAATCTGCCTTCACTCTCAAACACATTAGTCAGAAGTGAAAGCTCATGCTATAAGATGCATGGACATGTTGTAAACTCAGGACATGAGTATCACTGCTATCAAACACACACATTTTATGGTGAGTAACTGTATTCCTTCCTAACTTGGAAACAGCCTACAGGATTACAGTGACAACTTGGGCTTTGTGTCCATTCAACCTTTGGATTCCCCTAGGAGAGCAGAGCAAGTAAAACATCAACTGCTGTTAAACATTTTTGATGCTTTTTTTTCCCAAGGAGAATAGAAACAACCAACCAATGAAGTCAGGTAGGCAGCAATAGCTTTTATGTGCATTTGAATTAGTTTGAGTCCTGATTCAGTACCTGAAGATGACAAGCTCTGTATTCCATTACAAACCCTCAATCTGTAAATGCCCACATCCAGTAAGATACTCTCACACATACTCAGGAGAAGTAAAACCCAAGCCTAAGAGATTCAGTGGTAGAAAGCAACAAATGGGTATTTATTAGGAAGCAAGGAGGCTTCAAGAATCCTCTTAGAAAGTGGGAAGTATCAGCCAGCCCTGAACCCACCTGTGCACAGACAGATGAGGAAGGTGATTAGCACATGCCGTGGCTAATCATGGCACGTCAGGTTGTTGTAGCCAGCCTCTGACCTCACCAAAATGTAAACATACTGACAGGAGTCAAAGAAAACCAACCTGAGGCTTGACAAATTTCTCTAGGGCTCCCACCTTGCCCTGTGTAGCTGTAGAGATGGGGACTACCATGTTCTCCTTCAGGAGTATGAATTAGAAGTAGGATGATTAAATTGAGGCATCCACTAGGCTTCAGGAAAACAAAGAATTTTTTTTCTTGGCCCAGAGTTACAATTTAGGACAGTGAGAGCCAAGTTCCTGACCTGGTTTAGAACTTTCCATTAAAAACTGCTAAGTAAGGAGCTTAACGTATGAGAGTTTAGTCCTAGGGTTGTTTCAAAACATTTCACTGTGTTGGTCTGAAACACCTTGAAACTGCATATGAAAACATGCACTCTTCAGCCAGCAGGAGGTAAAAATAAATGTCAACAATGTTGCCAATGTCAACACTGTACATTTTTCCATGCTATTTGTTTGTAATTACAATAAAATTCATACAAAGGTAACAATCTCACTAAAACATTTAAACCCATACCTTGTGGTCTAATGGTCTGAGTTATTACCACTGGCATCCTAATCTGGGTAGTCTGGCAAGCAGGGGTTCGTTTCACAGTTTGAGCAGATGTTGACTGGATAATCTGCTATTATTAAAGAAAAGTATACTTATATTATACTCTTTATACACAAACACACACAACGTAAATACACTAATACCTGTAATTACTAAGCACGTGGATCTCTACAAGCACAACTAGCTGCTGACAAAAGTCATATTCATGTAATGCATGTGGTTGTGTGTGTGTGTATATACCTATTTTGTAATTATGCTTTAAGAAAATTCAATAATATACGACACATGTCATACCTCACAACATTCACTAAAAATATGTTTCAAATTTGTGAGGTTAGTATTAAAATTCAGACTTTTGTCTTTAGAAATTTTACTAGAAAGAAAAGCAGTTTTGTAGAAGAAAATGCTGCAATAATTGTAGTGGTATCCACCTGCAAACATTAGGCCTTGCACTAAATATCTACGCTTTTTAAAGAAACATGCTAAAAATAAATTCTAAAATACTATGGGTTCCAAAGTCAGATATACACAAGAAAGAAAATCAAGTTTTGTGGTGATCATATACTATGAATCTTTTAAATGCTGATTTGATATTCTCAAGGTTTCACTTACTACTAATTCAGGTTCTCAAGTTCTTCCTTAAAACTGGGTTAGAAACTTAAAATTTGACCCATAAACAAATCAAATAGGAAATACACACAAGGGTCATGTTTAATCAACAACAAAATGTTAAAAAAAAAAAAAAATCAACATTTATAAGATCAGGGACAGGGTAGGCACAGATGTAATGAACAGAAGATTCAGAAGGATGTGTGGAAGCTGCAGAGCTGTACAAAACCCCATAAATAAACTTTGAAAATAAAGCACTGGCAAAGAGCTATTTGAGTAAGACTCCAAGCACAACTCAGGCATGGCAACTTCCAAAGCCACGTGCTGCTCACAGCCACAGCTGAGGTGCTGCCCCTGTGTGACCATTCCCACTGCACCTCCACCAGCAGCACTGCCAGCACCAGCAGCTAACACCCCTGCACTCAGCTGGACAGAAATGGCCAAACCTCTGACTGCAAAGCAACCTATGGAGAAAAGAAAAGGAGAAACAGCATCTGCAAATGGGATGTGACAGCAGAGGATGAGCAATGAGGAAACCCTTCCATTAGCAGGAACCAGGGCTCCAAAACTGCAAGGGAGACAGGTGGAAACTGCAAACAAGACAAGAGCAATGAGGGATGTCTGATGTATTCTGGAGAAAAAACAAATTGTATCATTCTGAAGTTACAAAACTGCATTTTGTACATCCTAAAATACAGAGAGTCAAAAAGTTATAATAAATCTGTGGATGTAGAGGTATTAGCAATAACCACCCTGCAGAAAGAGAAAAGGGAAGAAAGATTAAGGATTCAGCTTCAACTATGGACACTGAAGGAAAACGGAGCATTTGTACTAAGCACAGAAATGGAGGAAATAGATATTAATTTAATTGGTCAAGACAGAGAGTGAACAGTCACACTCAGAGGGGAAAGAATAAAGCAGCTACCATGCTTAAAAACAGGAAAGGATTAAGAGTTGATCAGTGAAAACAATAGAAAAAAGTTGAATTTAACTGCATTTTGATGCACAGGAAACATGAACAAGTGTGGTTTTTGAAAAAAAGACAGAATAGTCCATGTTAAGAAAACATACATTGTTATGAAAAAGGAGAATGATGCCACTTTTAAAATAATTTATTGGATCAGTTTGCAGAGAATAGTGAAGAAAAGCTGCTGTACCTTAATGGGCCAAAAGCCAGGCCATAAAGGAGATGTGTGGGACCTCAGGACAGAATTACTATATATAGAATTAGAGTAATCTTCTGCAATTGTATTTTTTTTCTCTCTTTGAGGCAACTTCTACAGTTCAGAACCAAGTTCTTTTTCCCTCAATATTTTTATGTGAATACCCTACAAAATGAGCCACTAACACCATTAAAGACAGGACAATATTTAAGCATTTAAGATGACATAAATGGCAATGTTTTCTTTACTATCCAATGCATTCCACAAATTGTCTTTTGGCAAGTACTAGGACTTCAATGTATGTCCAAATGCTGAAAGTCCAGAAAATTATTGACAAACAAACTTCCAAGGGGCAGAGACCAGAATCATCATCTTAAACTCCATAAAAAAACCAACCAGCAATAGACACAAACTCTCTCAAAAGAACAACTGCACCAGAGCTCAGAGTAGCATCTTACACTAAATCCCCATTTCTATATTGGAGTTTTAAGAAATATGCAATCTCCAGATCTGGAAGTCATTAAGGAATTAACATTAGTAATTAGTTTCTGAAACAGAGCATGTAACTTCTTTGCAGGCAAACAAGGGACATAGTAAAAACCAATGAATCAGAGGATTCTGTATTAAAATTTGTAACTACATAAGCCACACTTCATCAGTTAAGATAATTCAAACTGTTCTAATTGTCTTGCCTGTTTTCCCAACATCATAAACATTACTATTATTACTATTATAATAATAAACATTATTATTATTACTATAATAATAATAATAATTATTACTATGAGGTCCTTAGCTTGACCTCAAAGTTGTAGGCAATGAACAAGTATACCAGCAGGGTGGTCTAGGATAAATTATTTCATATTTCTCACAGACTAAAACCATGCACAACAAGTGTACTCCACATCAGGTTATCTATCCACATTCTGAATCAAAGCTGAATGCCACTAATCAGCTGACAAGCACTGACCCAGACTGAGAGCAGATACAGGAGTTTTAGGACCCCTAGGTTGGCAGGGATATTACTCCAGCCTTTTCCCTTCCAGAAAAGGGGAGATCTCGGTGCTGCTGCAACCACCTTTGGGAAGATGAGGACAGAGTCAGACTCCTCCAGATGTGCAGAGTAGAAGGATGTACCACAAAAGACACAAGCTGGAATATAGGAGATTCCAATATAGTAGAAGAAAAAAAAAATTACCATCAGGATGGGCAAGCTCTGGAACAGGCTGCCCCAAGAGCCTGTGCAATTTCTTCTTGAAGACACTCAGAACATGGCTGGTCACATGGGAGATATCCCAGTGTGTAAGCAGGAGGCTGCACAAGACACCTCCAGGAGTCCTTTCAAACCTTTTACCACTGAGTCCAAGAACACACCATCATTGATTTTATTAAAGTGCTGAGTCACAAAAGGTAGCAAGACAGAATACAAAGGTCTTCAGACCTTACAGAAACTGTTCATCTTTCCACCTCCCCTAAAAAAGGAAGCATTTTAATTATGTACACCTCTGAAGACAGCAAGCACAACAACAGACAACAAAGGCACAGAAAATAGAAAAGACAGAATGTGATTTAGTCATTGCCTAAATTTGACAGAGTTAGGAAAATGTTAAATTATGATCAAGATGATGTTGAGACAGCAAGTATTGGCATATACTAGTTATTCCTCTTCAATTTATCTGTCAAAATTGAAGAATAATGTCCTAGGCTGCTGCACTTTGGAGCTCTTCAAGGAACACACTAAAGCAGCAGTCATGGCATTGCTTCTCCAAGTTCAATGTGTGAACAGTTACCTACATTTTTCTTCTATAAAATAACATTTTTCTGCAAAGTAAGATGTACATTTCTCACAATAAAAAGTATTCTTCCTCTCCTTTTATTTCATCTTTGCTCTGCTCCCTTTGTCATCTCTCTCCACTCTTCACACTCACTTTGATTCACCATTTGTCTGCTCTGGCAGACCAGCTCCTCCTCTCACCTCCTGAACACTGCAGGACACTCCTTTGCTAAAGCTGACTGTATTTTCAGCGGTGAAAAAAGGGATGTTTATACAAAGGTGCTTCCTTAAGAGAGCAGGCTCATGAAGACAAAAAAAAGAATATACAACAATCACACTATTAATAACCAGAATAACAAAGAGGTGACAGCTGAAATACCCTTGTTTTTTTTTCCTAAGGGTTTTCTTCAAAAAGCGTAGATTTGGTGACTCTAGGAGAATAAAGTAATGGTTCTCTCTGGTCCTAATCTCAAGCCAAAAGGTGATGATCATTCCATGACATCTTCTACTGTGTAAGTTATTGCAGGACAGAGAACAAATTATAGACATGAACACAGACCAATAATCAACAGCAAAACCAATAAATATAGACTGAGAAAGAATCCAGCCAAAGCACAACAAATGTACAGAAGCAGAAAGAGAACAGAAGCCATCAGTCTTTCTCACGCCTGCACAAGAGAGGCAAAATTAAATGAGAGCCACAACATACAAACCATTGAAAGGAAAATTCCTTTAGGACAGTAAGATTAGAACGCATTGCTAAAGTTTCTGAGGACAAGGATTTTGCAAATCTCCTGGACCAGTGCAGATGCACAAGGTTCCAACCTTTACTTGAAGAGGGCTGCAAAACCAGCCTGGCCCAATTCACAAGCATCACCTTTTGCAACAAAAGCATCTGATCCAAAAGCTTAAATCTATCAAGTACTGCAATAAAGACAAAAAACACAGTAAACAAGAGCTTCTGCAAAGAATGCAAAACAAAAATAAATTTGAAAAATATATCCTTTACCAAGCTTTTTTTTCCTCTCAATTAAGTTAAAAAAATAATGTGAAAGGAAGAAACATATAAACATATAAAACTCAGAATGGCTGTGGTCTGATATGACATTTATCTTCACTCATGAGTAAACACTTGCTAACTCACTTGTGGCTATGCCACTTGTGATTTATCAGTCTACTCACTCCTGAAGATAAATGTCATATCAAACCTCAGCTATCATGTAATCTGGCAGCATTAACTTACAATGTTCATGCTTTTATGGGCCTAGAATTCATATTTACCATTGCTTACCATGCTGCAGTAGCAGCTACAGTTTTTCAATAGTGCCTCAAAATCTACATAAGCAATTATTTTTCCTCCCAAATTAAAAAAAAAAATTGACTATTTTAATGTTAATATGACAATACTATTCCACTGAGTACAGGCTTTAATAAAGAAATGAAGAAAAATAAAACAGAAGCCATGACATCACTTGTCCCACCTGCTCCTCAATTTATTACACAATTCTTCCTACAATGGTCAAATGCTCTACTTTTGAACGTTTTCAATTATGGCTTTTTTATCACCGTCTTTGAGAGCCTGATCTACCATCTAATAGTCTCTCTTACTTTAAGGCTATTTTGCCTTCTACCCTATCTTAATCCTACTTAATTTAATTATATCCTGTTATTCATATTTTTACCATCTTGGTCTGTTCCAAATAATGAACTTTCCCTTTTATTCTCCCTTACAATCAGTGTCTGAAGAAGTTGTGTGTTCATTTCTTTTAAGCTTCGCTTTCAAATCTGGCCTTTTATTACTGGTTTCCAAACACCCATCAGTGACATTGTTCTCCTAATATTAATGTACAGCCCACAAAATTCTGAACATAAAGTCTGTGATAACAACTCAGAAAACCACTAGGCTGTATTTCAAATAAGCATACATTTTGTCAAGTACAGGTTTTGTACCTGTTAATAAATCCCAGATATCTACTGCTCAACAGCCATTTTTATTTATATTTTACTGCATACCAAATTCCATGCCAATGGCTATATCTTTATTAGTCAATTAATAGAAAATACTCCTTTTATCCAAATAGTCATCTATTACTCTCCATTTCTAAGCTGCCTTGCAAAGACAAAACAAATAAAAAGATTTTCTAAAATTTCACTAAAATGTGTACAAATTAGATTAATTCATGAACACAAAAGTGATACCAGAAAAGCTTCAGTGGAGAATTAAAAAGCCAAGTGGAACATCCCCATATAAAAGAATTCTTATTCTGCTGCTGTATCTTGTTTCCAAATTCCATTACTCTATCTCAACTCTGAGAGACTCCAACCACTGTGACAGTGCAGGGAAAGTGTCAGTAAGTGTTTGAGCAAATCCTGTTCTAATTATATTCTAGTTCTAATATTCTAACTTAGAATATGGCAGAGCCCACCCTCTGGACACTGTGCCCTATCAGTGCAGCAGAAATGGTGCAGATGTATTTCCATATCTCCCTCCTAATCCTAGACCTGCACAAATCTTTATACAGGTTTTTATATAATTAATTTGTTATAATTAAGATGGATCACTGATTTTCTTACTGGATTTTTTTATCACTCAAGTTTAATACTTGGCTTTAACTTCCAGGAGTACTTTCTCCTTATGATGCAGACTGTGCCAAAACAATACATGAAGTGCTAATCCATCTCCACTACCCATCAATCTACTTATAACCTCAACATGTGTAGTAAAGAATATCTCTCTTACTCATACAAATTCTACCTGCTGCAACACCCAAAACAAGACAGGCAATGTCTGCCTATATAAGGCAACATGGACTCTAAGAATGGCGATTCAGACAAACTTACAACATTGCACTTAGAACAATTTAAAAAAATTGATTGTTGGCTTATCTCATAAGTGTCTCATCAATAAAATATTAGCCTAAAATTGTTCCCATTTTCTTTATATAGAACTAGCACTACCTACCTTTATAAAGCATTGTTTTTCATCGTTTGCAACATGATTCCAGTACTCTAATAAACAGACTAAAAGCCTCCTGTTTCATCATCACTAACACTGTACATTTCAAATCCTTTGTGCGAGCTATGCTGCATGCCAACAGTGCACACAGGATTTTCACACTGCAAGGTACCTCAATGCTACTGGAAAAAGCATCACCACAGCTGACACCTTTGAGAAACAGAAAAGACAAAGGAAGGAACAGCCAACAGACCCTTCACATTTTAAGGAGAACTGGACTACTGTAAACTGGCTGGTATGAAAAGATGTACAGTCTAAAACAAGCTTGCCCTTCTGCAGCTGGACAGTTTGCAAAGCCAGCTGGAACCCTCTCCAATAAGCTTCAGGCTTGGAAAACCTGGAGCTCAGCCAGTTCTTCCATCAGTGCTGCCTACCCTCAGGCAAGCCAGCTGCAATCTTCCTCTCCTGGACAAGACCAAGGCAAGATGGCCAGCAGCTCTGTGCCCCGATTTCGGGGAGCAGTGAGAACTGTGACAGTGTGAGCAGCAGCACTGCAAAAAAATCAATACTTATCAGCAATTACTGGGCTGATATGGAGCTGCTGCTGTGTTGCCTGCCTGGCACCTGAGTTGATGGTTGCTGTGCTAAGATTTTTTGATGCACTAACTCTTGATGTCTGATGCTGCTTTTGTCTGTACAGAACTACTCTGAGGGTCATTAAGTGCCTGGTTAAGTACTGTTTGATTCTATTAACTAAAGACTGATAAATATAAAGGAAATATGAAAAGACAGTTTCACACTAAAGCTCATAAATTATGATTCTTAATGTCTTTCCACTATTATATATATTTGTATATTATATATTTTCCAGAAAATAAATAGTATAAACCACAGCTTTTCTTTGCACCGCTTGTGACCTTTTGAAAATGTAGTGGTCATTTCAAGTACCCAGTAAATGAAAATTCAGCCCTAGACCTGTGACCTCCTTACAGACAGAAAACCAACTTCTCTTGCTCATCAGATCAATCTCCACAATGTTACTTGAGCAGCTTCCAGCTCCTCCTATGACCCAGGCATGTCAGAAAAGCTCTTCATATTGTTAATCTCTACTCAGAACATCACAACTTCTTGCTTAGAGTACCCATTGACATAAGACAGGCAGAACATGCCTCTCCCAGAAATTTGGGGTTCTCCCAACCAGAAAATTCTCCACCAGAACTGTATAATAAAAGTAAGAATTCCTGTGGTCTTATCCATTTTTGTCCTACATTGGTGTTTCTCAAAAGGTGGGGTGAAACTTGCCCAGTGGGCACAGGAGCACCTAATTTGGGCTGCACAACACTGGAAAAAGCCATGCTACATGGCAGTAGGCTAGCTTTAGACCATGGCATGAGGTGAGGCCAGACTTACTGGCCTCGGACACTTCTACCTCTAAGCAATCTGTCAGCTGCAGGCAGAAATTTGCTTATGCTGGGACAGGGAGTAATTTTTCCACCTACTGCCTGCAATCACCACCAGCGTCTACTCTCGGGCCTAGAAAAGCCAAAGCTATTGAACATTCAGTCATGAAACACAGACAAATCAAAGAGATGTCACAAAAGTGTGAGGAACACTTTTCTAATTAATACAACAATCCAGACAGGGTGGGGAGAAGCCATATCAGAAGAAAAAAGCATGCAAGTGGCTGGACCTGCATTGAAGAAGCCAAGTTAAGGTGAAAAACACAAAACTGTCTTGTGTGTATTACAAATGCCAGAGTCAGAAATCTTACCACTCAAGATGTTCTTACACATTAAAACTATGTTCACTAAAGTATTATTAAATTATATTAGTTTCACTTTAAAGTTAATAATTTAACCACGAGAAAGTGTTTGTAAGGTTCAAGACACAGCTCAGGTATTTTCAGTCTGTGCACAGCTACTTTTAATTAAAGCAAAAGAAATCTTTTCTTTCCACACACAATACTAATTATTTATATGCTTTATAGAGCTTATAAACTCATGGACAGATCACTGTAAGGCTTTACATTATCACATTTGTATTTCTTGACCTCGATAATATAGATTTTTACCACACTGATAAATGTTCTGGAACCTCTCTATACAATTTTGAAATCTAAGTGAAGTACTTTACTCAAACATACACAGAAACCACATACAAGGAAACTCTCACAAAGGATAGTAATGCCTGTATAAACTCAAGGCCTTGTAAAAATCCTTAACACTGTTTGATTATAAGCACAAACACACACACACACAAGATCCAGTGTAACAGCAGGATAAAGTCACCACACTCTTAATGACTACCTGGCTGTGCAGCTGCCTTACTGATGGTGCCTTTTAAATTAATGAATTAATGAAGCACTTAACACTCCACTATGCACAAAAAAGGTACAGTTCAGTGAGTAACAGAGAATGGCATTATTACTAAACAAAACATCCTGGCACAGCACAGTTATTCTTCTACAAGATTTTGCAACTATGTGTAGAAGAGTTTAAAATGAGAGAGTTCATTTTAGTTTTAAAGCAAAGCAGCATATACCTAATGACATACTCAACGTTATACTCCTGCCTGTAAATCTTGGAAAGCTTTCTGTTCTACATTTGTAATTCCCTCAAATTCCACTGTGCTCATACAACAACCACTCTTTTGCAGACAAAAAGACCAAGAGTGCACTTCCTTAAATTTATGTTAATAATCTTATCTGAAGTAATGGTTGAGCATACATGTGAAATGACAGAAAATGAGGTACTACCACATATCACAGAATATGATACAAACAAAAAAGAATTTTCCCAAACAAGCTGCAATGAAAGTAACACTAAAAACTGCTATACAGTTCATTAAGAAATCCTCTTTTATACTACAGTACCTACCAGTTGAGAACTCTGATTTGACTGTACCACCTTAACCTGAGGAGGCTGCACTGTATTTGATACAGAGACTGTGCAAATGTTGTTTGGTTGCCTTATTCCTATTGTCTGCGTCGTGACAACAGAGGAGATGCTTCCCGAGGCAGACTGAGGTATAACTTGTGAGAGCTTGGTCTGTTGGAGTGACTGCTGAGACGGCTGGCCTTGCAAAACCAAATGCTGACTATTCAGTAAAGATTGTCTCAGTGCAGGTAGACTTTTCTAAAAACAGAAGAAAGTTTATGAAATAGCAAACTTAGCAGATTGACAAAAAGCATTTTTAAATTTGCTGTAAACATAATTAAAAGAATGCATCTTTTTTTCCAATTTGACTGTTTATCAAACAGAACTAAGACTGAACATTTATTGTAAGAGAAAGTTCAGTTTTTAATAAGCTTTCAGTTTGGATTTAGCAACCCTGTAGATTTTCGCATGCCCTAAATTCCACTGTAGCAGAAAAATCACTCTTCCTCTCAATACCATCTAGAACTTTTAGCTTAGGTCTTTGGAAGGGCAAGAAATGGAAGCAAAAAAGGAAGCATGGAACAACCCTATTCCCAGCAAGCTGCACCAACTTACTCCTCCTAATACACCTCCAGTACCTACAACCAAATTATTTTCCTCTTGGTGCCCTAAAGCAGTAGCTGTTTATCATATTATTTCTGAAGTAATGTATTGTGACAGTATTAGAAAAGTGTACTATTTATTGTAAGCCCCATGTTCATACCATTTCAAGGAAAACATACTTCTAAAAGGCTGTACTGTACCTTCATGAACAAACTTTTGACTTTTTAAGTGGCAGAAGTGTTCTTTTGAAGTGCTTCCTCAGGCAGCTGAAGAATTCAAGTGCTTAACCCAAGCTACAATTCTTTCTAAACTCCTAATATTGATTTAAAAACTTAATGCCTATTGCCCAGAAAGGACTTCAAAGAAAGGAAATAAATCAAAACTTATCATGATGCTAGAAGTGACTTCAGTAAAAGCCACAAATAAGAGTTAATGATAACTTGAAAAAACAGGACCAGAAGTTCTGAAGCAAAGTTGCAGGGAGAAAAAAAGAGAGAAAATATGCCCTAAACTGAGAAATTCTACTGTTGATTAGCTCCAGATTAAATCCAGAATCATCTAATCAACACTTTATCCAGTTCAGTTCTTCATAATCATTGCTACATATGGATTGAAAGTTACCAATGACCCAAACATAGATTGGGAAAACAGTATGGAAACAACTTATTAAATTACTTGAAGCATTCTGTAAAAATAACTTGGGACTCTTTGAAATGTGAAAGCTTCTCTTCTTCACAAAAAATTTACCTACTACCACAGAAAAGAGTATTTATTCTGAGAGTAAAGGACCACTACAGAATAGCCAAAGGATGGTTTCCAAACTAAGGAGTAACTGCTTTTTATTTTTTACATCGAATTACTGCAACGTTCTAGATCAGGGCTACTCAAGCTGTGAACTCCAGCACTTCCAGCCAGGCAGATCTTGGCAGAAATGGGCAGCATTTAGAAGTAAAGGAAGTGTAGTCCTGGGGCAGTGAAGATAACACTATTTTAAAAGACTATTCTAAGACTTAATGTAAAGAAATTTTGCTCTGAAATAAATTTATCCAAGCACTATTCACATTACCTTAAGGAAAGGTACAAGATATGGCTGAGGAGATGATTTGAGTTCTGTTTGAAGGCGGCCTGTAAATTCTTCTGGATCAATCTTTGCATCCTTCAGGGTGAAGAAAAAAAAGTATCAACCTCTCTTTTCAGTTGTTTAGTTTCCTCTTTCCCAGCTACTATATACACATATCTCTCTAGCTGAATAGGCTGCTAATATCAAAAACGTTCAGAGCTGAAGTCCCTTAACTCCTCTCTAAGACCCTTTGCCAAGCACTAATTCAAACATGTAACGTGCCACTCAAAATGAAGAGAATTCCCCTGGCGAAGGCACCACTTCAGACAAAATGAGGCCCCAGAAACACTCAAGTCTCTTTTGGGACTCTACTCGCTTGCTAACATTTACATGATCATTTCTTTTCTTAAAATTAAAAGAAAACAACAAGAAGAAGTTGTCGGTGTTACCTTAAAAATAAGAAATTTGTCAGCCTTTGTGGTAATTCCAAAATCAATTCTGATGGTACAATTTAACTGGTAGAATCCATATATATAAAACTAGATATGCAAAGCATGTCCATACATAAAAAACATGCCTTTAAGTAGATATAAAATCTCCTCATCTATGAATTTGTATGTATGCTTACAAAATATACACTTATATCAAATACATAATCAGGCATTTCTTTAGTAGTAATTCAAGAGAATTCTAACTTGGGTGCATTTTATGATACTTCTAAAGTATCATTAGTTACAAGTTCAGGTTGTAATCAAAACATTAATTAGCCTTCCAGACTGATACAGAACAAGTGAAAAACCAAAGCCAAATAAGCTTCAATAAATATATTTATTATATATGCATGCTGGTACTTCATTTAAAATACTCGAAGTAATTACCTTTATTTAGTCTTTTCAAGCTGGTAAAAGTTAAAACAAGCTTTCACTGGAATCATTGAATGATTGTTGAACAGCTCACAAGCCTTAGGCTTGTCTAAAATATACAGATTTCTCTGGCAATGAATTCAAAGAAATGTATAGCAACTCCTTTTAAATCCAATGCTCTCATAGACTATATTAAATTTCTTTTAAGAAGCTTGACTCTTTCCCCAGCCCCACAGTAACCTCTGTCTGCAGCTCATTTATACAATTCACTGCAGCATCTGTTGCACTGCAGACTGCAGCCAGTCCTGCTTTTTTCTGGCCAGAGCACTCTAACCCAGCTTTGCCTCTGGAAATCCCCGTGCCACTAAGGCTCCATGCAGGGGCACCTGCCTGCAGAACAGCAGAAAATCAGAAGCTCAGGAAAATACTTTTCCTTCAGTCTTAGAAACTCTAAACCATGTTGTGAACCACGATGTTCTGTGCTTGAAAAATTATGAGCTTCTTGTTTCAAAGAACAAGGTTTGGAGAAAAAAAAAACTTAACAAATCCTCATGGAAAAATCTCATATTTTACTAAAGGAGAAAGCAAAGTATTACTCATCAAAACAAGAGTGGCTTTGATACTAAATGTTTTGCTACATTTCCCCTTTCAAAAACCAAGAGAAAGTCTGCCTTTAACAGATTTTTAAATATATATAACATACAGAATATTGCATTTTGATGAAGCCCTTTCATTACAGCCAAATAATTGTGAAAATCAAAGCAATAGTTTCCAGCATCCATAAATAAGAAGTTTAATAGGTAACTGACAAAATAAATGGTAACTAAATATTTACCAACAAATCTTGAACCAGAGCTTTCACATTGCGGGACGTTTCTGGAGATGGTGAATTATGAGAAGCAAGCTTTATAAGGGTAGCTAAAAAGTTTTTACATTTTTTCACATTCTCTTGCATTTCCTGCAAAAAGCCAAAGAAAACAAATATTAGCTCCATGCTATTTTTCCATCACGATCAATGCATGCTATGACCACTACAAATAAGGAAAATTATGATATTTTTCTAATTCAGGCCATATATGAAATATGTTTTGCTCTTACTGCTTGTTACCTGAGATTTTCTTATCTTCTTTAGGTACGATCATCATAGCTCACAAATAACAACAAAAAAAAATCAATGAAAGAAATATATTTTATATTTTTACAGTCTGTTTTGGTACAAATTATCTTAAATATGAGAAGTAACAGGACAATTTGCTGGAGATGAATTCCCCTTTGAAATGCCCAACAGACAAGGTACAAATGTTCCCCAAGCTATCTTATTTTGTTAAATTATTGATTCAGTACGTTTTTGTACGAAGCAACTACAGCAGTAAAATCAAATTAGAAATAAGTCTTCAAACATCATCATATCTGATCTTTTTTTTCATTAGTAGTAAAACAAGCCATTATTTTTATATGGCATAGCTGGTCCAAGAAACAGAAACATCACACTTCAGTGTAACCACAGTTTTGAGGCCCAGCAACAGGATCATCCTGCTGTTCGGTCCATAGACTGAAGGCTACAGGAACAGAACAGCTCTTTCACTAGTGCCACATACATGGTGGGGTGGGGAGAGCTGACCACAAATGTTCTTCCTCCCTCTCAGAATTTGCATCTCATTAGGCTGAAACCAGAGGACGGCTTTTCCCGTTTGCCAAGTATTTGTCCCATCAGGGCATACATGCTTGCCTGAAGAAGCAGCTCTGCCAGAGCAGTTCTAAAGCACTAAGAAAACATGTTTCCACACTTGCCTGGGACACAACGGTGGTTCCAGGCACAGGAGAGCTGGGAATGACCAGGGGCTGTGCCGGCACCTGCGCTGCCGTGTGTGGGGGCAGCGGCAGCCGGGGCTGCCCCGAGCCCTGGCTCTGCGCGCCGCTGAGCACCGCAGGCTGCTGCGAGCCCGCACTTCCCCCTGCCACCGTCGTCTTGAACAAATTTGGAGCGCTCGTCGTAGCTACTGATACCTAGGAATATTTTATATTCAAAATTAGTAATTTTCACTGTCAAAAAACCATGGGAATCATACAATCATACAATGGTTTGGGTTGGAAAGGAACTTCAAGCTCATCCAGTTCTGCTGTCCCAGGCTGCTCCAAGCCCCATCCCAACCTGGCCTTGGGCACTGCCAGGGATCCAGGGGCAGCCACAGCTGCTCTGGGCACCTGTGCCAGGGCCTGCCCACCCTGCCAGGGAACAGTTCCTCCATGTACCCACCCTGAATCTCCCTCCCTGCCCCAGCCCAAGCCCAGGCAGCGTGCCCAGCCCCTGACCGTGGTGTGTGAGAGCACAGCCCCTCCTGGCAGCGTGGCTGTGGCGCTGGCAGGCGCTGCTGTGGATGGCACCACCTTGGCTTGCACCGGGAGCCCCAGGCGGACGCTGGAGGTGGCCACGGACGTTGGCTGCTGATAAAGGAAAAACCAGCATTTTACTTGTTTTCTCCTTAATAACTTGATCTCCAAGGCTTTTTAATAATAGTGATTACAAGAATAATCATTATTAATACTGCAAAAAAAACCAAAAAACCACATCAAACCTAGTAATGTGCTTTTATATGTATATTCACAAATACTGGAAAAATTAGCTTTCTCATGTTCAATGATAGCTTTGCAGTATTTCTCCTGAAAGCTATTACTCATACAGCTATATGGAAAAGATTAGAAAAAACAAACGTGACCTGCAAAAACACTGATGTTACATTGATGCATTAATTCAGTCGTAATATTTAGATGCCAATATTCATCGATATTTGAGTTTATCATTGCCAGTAACACATACGGGTCCTCTTGGCATTTATGAGCCTGTTCTAGTGCTTTTTTTAATGCAAATTAATATGGACGGAAAATTTAGAAAGCACAAAAATATTCTTAAAAATAATTTCAGATTGAATTATACAGAAATTAACTTGCAGAGAAACGACATCTAAGCACTGGGAGAACCTTTGTCATAGAATACAGACTCTGCACCCAGACAACAACTGCAATATGGAGTGGAGACAAAGGAAAATGACTGACCTACAGCCTTTCGGTCAGTAGTACATTCTATAGCTCAGAAAATTTATCTTATTTAGCAACCATATTACTTATTTTGTGATTTACTTTCATTGCAAGACTGAAATCTCTTTCCATCCTACAAAAGGACAAAATTTAGGAATTAAAAAATGTTTCCAGAGAAGTTACTTAATTCTGCAGGAAGGTAAACACCATTATAAATGAAATGCATCACACAATATGGCAATTATGACAAAATGAGAACCACACATTACTAAAAATGGAGGCCACACTGGTCTCTTATAACTTGCATTTATTAAGATTTGCATTCACATTCGAAAAAGACAAATTTTCTAAGTGGCTAGAGTAATAAATCATGGCTGATGCTGCTTCTCACAAGATAAAACTAGTTTTTCTTGATTTAAATTTTAATTCATATGTCTCTAAAATTCATATTTTATAAAGAACTGCTTATTTTAGAGTCCTAGGTTGTCTATTAAACTTACATAAAATACTTCTCCAAAGAACATCTAGTGTACTCTAAAATATCTCCAAAAGGAACAGAAGCCCAGGCAGGCATTCAAAGCCCCAAGGATTCCTTACAAATCAGTCCAGCAACATCATCTACTGGATATCAATCTTCTGTACTTGGGGAAAAAAAGGAGGAAAGAAAACAAATCAAATAAATCTACCTGACATCTGAACAAACCCCTTTTTTTTGTTTGTATAGCTTTCAAGATTTTTTAAATCTTGACTAGGGATGCCTTCCATCCTGAATAGCCTAGAGACAACAAACAGCATCATCATGAAAAGGCAGAATTATGTGGTTTTCTCAAGAAGGACCACATAAAGCTTCTCCTGTTTTAAACATCCTACACCTCTTTTCTTCATTATAAAATGAATAAGTATTTTAAAATACTGGTTGAATGAAATTATATCTGCCTGATGAGTGCTGCATTTGAAATATAAACATTGTGTATCTTGTTCACTTGCTTATAATCAGTTTCCAGCCTAAGAACATAGCACGCCTGTGATACCTGCCCTTATCAGTCTGGGCTTCCAGAAGTGAGGATTTAGGAAAAAAGCAGATAACCAGGGGCACTTCTGGCAGCTACTAGCTTCCAGGCAAGACGTGCAGCGAGAAATCCACAAATACAGAGTGAGACTACAAGATAGAGAATTTTTCTCAGCTAATAAATGCTCATTATTCATCACAGGAACATACTTGAAAATAAAACTGCGCATAATTAAAATATAAATTTTCACTATTGTAGTGCCCAACTAAGAATGTATTCCCATGTGTCAGACCTCAGCAGCAAACTGTCAAACTTGAAAACTAAATTCACACTTGGTTTTAAAAATCAATAGTGACAAAAGCCTTTAATAGAAAATGGCAGTAAAATCCACTAAAGTGCTGGATATGAAGAAATCCCTCACCACCAGAGAACTGCAAACAAAGTAATGCAATGGTTTATTAACGTGGTTCCAAAATTTAGAAGGGTAAAAAAAGTAAGTCTGAAATGAAGGGATGAGAAACACAAAAAGGAACTAGCCTGGAGAAATTCTAAAATATCATGGAAATGATCTACAAGTGACAGCTACAAGTTGCCAGAAGACACTCAAAGGATTCCCAACATGAATGCTTCGAGAACTGATAAAAATTATTTAGAAAGAAAAAGCTGTGTTTTCTATGAAGGAACCTTGTAAACAGATCTAATGAGAAATACATCAAAAAGAAAACAAAAATTATCAATATTATTTTAACAAAAAATCATAACCCAGTGTATCAAATTCCTACTGGAAGAATCTAAAAGAACTCATGATGTTCCTTGAGGAAAAGCTGCCGAGGTTTGGTAGGATGCTATTAAATTCTGAAATTACCGGAAGAGCTCAAAAGAAATAAGTTTTCAAATCTAACTATTATTTTTCATTAGATAAATGAGATTTTTTTTATATTCCCTAAATAGAGGGAAGTAACACTGAAGAGCCTCTTGCCTGTGCTCAGGCACTGACAGGCAGGAAGCCAGACCATGAACGAGCACAGTCAGCAGGCTCTTCTGATGCCCAGGGGACACTGGAGGCTGCATGTGCACACAGACCTGAGCTGGCTCTGTCCACACAGCTCAGAACAGGGTGCCCAGCACAGTGCTACAGAGGAAAGGAGGATTTCAGGAGGGACAGCCTGGGAGGGGGGTGTCCCAAGGTTTGCTCTGCCTGCCCAAGTCACACAGGTAACACACATTACTCTGATTTCAGGGTGCAACAAATCACTTCCACTTAGGCAGTCAGAGCACACTGGAATTGTTCACAGTGCAGGAAAACCCAGTGTCCTATAAATTCACTCCTTAGACACTCTACTTTCCTTCTCCCCAGAGCTCTGGGCAAGAATCTTGGGAAAGAATCCACTCTACCTGCTGTGCATAAACAAGCTGTCTCTGTACAAGGAATACACAAGGCTGCATTTGATAAAGCAAGTCACTTGAATATGGAGAAAACAATCAAAATAACCAAAGATTATTTGTCACTGCCAAGGCAGGACTGTGCCAACTTCAGAGATTGCATTGCATATTCACAGTTTTATCAAATGAAGTCAAACTGTCAGAGGTTAGTATGCAAATCCTTGGGAGCAGGTTTGGGCTACACTTGTATTTTGTACTACAAAACCACCTGCATACCAACACTCCAGGTACCAGCAGCATAGGCTCTGCACTAGAGCTCACTTTTGACAAGTTCCACACGTTTTTCATGATCATTCCCATCAATAAACTTGGCCACTATCAACCAAAAAGAAGAAAATACTCCAGTAATATTTGAACAAGCACCAACACAAAAGCCAAGTTTTTCAAAATACAAATTGTGACTCCTCTTTACATCTTCAAATACATGGCTTCACTAAGTCTTATGCAAAACTCAATTTTCTTAAGATCTTTAAGTTTAGATTTAAATCTTTAAGTTCAGATTTGCAAAATCTGAAAGGAAATTCAATTTCATTTCCAATCATTAATGTAGAAGGCTTCTTATAAACTCAACAGCCCATGCTATGATGGCATCTGAGATGTCTTCAACAATCAATGGCACTGTTTAACAAAGAGAAACTGAAGTGGGATCACAGACACTGGCAGAAGCATAAGCTAAAGGTCAAATCTGGGAGCTCACTTGCACTGGGCTGGCATGGCCAGGTTTTGGTGCTGGTGCCTCTGTGAGAAGCTGACAGAAGCTTCCCCTGTGTCCAGCAGAGCCAATTCCAGCTGGCTCCAGGACAGACCCACCCCTGGCCAAGGCTGGGCCCAGCAGTGACAGTGGCAGCACCTCTGGGAACACTTGGGAAGGGGGAGGAAACCCCCCTGGAATTGCAGCTGGCTGAGAGCAGGGAGGATTTGTGAGAGGAGCAGCTCTGCAAAGCCCCAGGGCAGGGCAGGAGGGGCAGGAGCTGCTCCAGGTGCTGGAGCTGAGGTTCCCCGAGCCCAGGGAGCAGCCCAGGGAGAGGCAGCTGAGCCCCCCCAGCCCTGTGCTCCAGGATGGATCAGGGATCCTTTCCCCCCCAGCCCTGGGCTCCAGGATGGATCAGGGATCCTTTCCCCCCCAGCCCTGGGCTCCAGGATGGATCAGGGATCCTTTCCCCTGCAGCCCCGGGCTCCAGGATGGATCAGGGATCCTTTCCCTTGCAGCCCTGGGCTCCAGGATGGATCAGGGATCCTTTCCCCCCCAGCCCTGGGCTCCAGGATGGATCGGGGATCCTTTCCCCCCCAGCCCTGGGCTCCAGGATGGATCAGGGATCCTTTCCCCCCCAGCCCTGGGCTCCAGGATGGATCAGGGATCCTTTCCCCCCCAGCCCTGGGCTCCAGGATGGATCAGGGATCCTTTCCCCCCCAGCCCCTGGAGGCCCCACTCGGGAGCAGGGGGTGCCTGAAGGAGCTGTGACCCCAGGAACTCCACCCTGGAGCAGCTCCTGGCAGGACCTGTGGTCCCGTGGAGAGAGGAGCCCAAACTGGAACAGGTTTGCTGGCAGGAGCTGTGACCCCACAGGGGACCTGGGCTGGAGCAGCTCCTGCAGGACTGACTGCACCCATGGAAGGACCAGGCTGGAGCAGCTCCTGAAGCACTGACTGCACCCATGGGAAGGACCAGGCTGGAGCAGCTCCTCAAGGACTGACTGCACCCATGGAAGGACCAGGCTGGAGCAGCTCAAGGAGCTCACTGTCTCCTGTAGGAAGGACCCCACACTGGAGCACTGGAAGATGTGAGGAGCCCTTCCCCTGAGGAGGAAGGAGCAGCAGAGACAACCTGGGATGAGCTGAGCACAGCCCCATTCCCCATCCCCCTGCACCACTCGGGGGAGAGGTGGAGAAAGCTGGGAGTAAAGTTAAACCCAGGAAGAAAGGAGGGGTGAGGAGAAGCTGTTATAAGATTTAGTT